ATATATATATATATATATATATATCATAACGCATAATGTAAAATCTGTCAAAAGTATCATCTAGTTGATGAGGGAAACCACGTAATCTTAATTAGTTATGCTGGCAATTTTATCTTTCAAGATAAGAAGGAACCCAAAAAATATGTGTAAAGATGACAACTTGTAGATTTGGTATGATAGTGCCGGCTCTTTCTAGAAATATTTATTTGTCATTTTCTTACTCGTTAAAATACTCGAAATATATATATATATTTGTAACTTTTTTATATATGTATATAATTTATTTTTTATTTTTCAAAATTTGAAGTTAAATTATTTAAAAATAATTTTTAAAATATAAATTTAGATAAAAAATAATTTTTAAATACAATATAAATTAAATCATTCAATAAATATTAACACAAATAAATTTAAATGAATTACACTAAAATATAAATTTTTAAAAATTGTTTTTTATTAAACAACTTTAATTTATTAGAATCTAAACAAAATTAAAAATATATTAAAATAAATTTTAAATCATCTTTCATTATTATTTAATTAATAATTTTATTTTGATTACTCAAACTTTAAAAAAATATTTAAATAAAATTAAGTGAATATTCTTTAATCGAATATTATAATACCCCGTTCCATCACCAAATTCTATTAACAAATGAATAAGTGAATAAGTAAATATTTTTATCTTTATCCACTAAATATTTGTATCTTTATCCTCATAGGTACGAATTTATTTATTTTCATTCCTAAATATACGAAGCTATACGCTGTTCAAAATTTGAGATTCCTATAATTAGTAATTCAAACTCAGGCACAAGTTCAAAATATCTAAAGAAGAAAAACATCTGAAACACTTGAAATCTTATAAAAGAATGAATATACTAGGTCTCTCTTTATGGACAAATGTTAAGGTACGGCAAAGTCCTATAGAAGAATGATGAAATTCATAGCACTAACAGTGAACATAAACCTTAAACTTTATCCCTCCAAGCACCATGTGGCTTCCATCATCATGATACTTGTACTACCATTACTACTAGACAGTATTTCCTATCTATGTTTCAGCCATGTTTCAGCAATGCCAGGCAGAAGCTGATATCAAATTTCTATCCTTCCACCCCAACAACATGGCTCCATCCTTCTCCAACAGAGTATAATGTTCTGAATAGCACTTGAGAAGGATTCCTATGACAGAATTCACATAAGAGCTCAAAGGAGACTGAGTGAATCCAGCCATTGTTAACCTGGATTTCCACTTCCCCAATAGTTCATGTCTCTCAACCCTTTCCTTGCCTTCACAAGCAATAATATTCACTATATCCCTGGCCAGACAATGTTGCTCCACATTGATCCGCTCCTTGCTTTCTCTTGGGAGTAGGCTGGCATCAATAGACTCGAAGATTGCCAAGTAGTAATCCAAGGTTTCGATAAACCTGTTGAAGAAAGGGGTTGTGTTGGTGTTTGATTCCTGCTCCACCAGTGTGGTCACCTTGGGAGAAAGTGACTTCACCAACCTCAATAGTCCATCCCTTGGGTTACTCACATGAACACTCTCATCAGCTGTGTGATGGAGCTGCAAGGGGAAGTTCACTGCCAAGGCCTCTCCAGGCCTGATATCTAGCATTTCCCTTGTCACTTCTTCACTAAAAACAGGCACTCCATGAAACTCAACTGGGATGCCAAATTTCTCAGACATCAAGCCCAACCTTTTACCAACAATATCTAATCCGTCGCCGCCACGTGCATATCTAGAAACAGGATCATCAATCCCCGTTATCCGAACATGTGGAGCACCACCAGGTCTTGCTGCAAGGGCTTGAAGAAGTGTCATCCACTGAGATCCTTGAGCAATTTGGAAGTCTATGATGTGTATGCGATCCTCGTTTCTGCAGGCTTCCGCAATGGCTCCATTGGCAGCCATGTAACCAAATTTTAAGTAGGGGCAAATCTCAAACAGCAGTTGCATGTAAGAGAGTAATTCTTCACCTTCAGGCTCTCTGCACCTAAGGGCATGATAGATGCTCTTTCCTGATGCTTCCTTCCTTGCAACAAGCCCTTCTACCATGTAAGCGCCAAGCCGCTGGATTGGCTCCCCGTTGATCGACACAGCATCTCTAGCCTTTCCTACCAATTGATCAAAATCTTTGATGTTGTTTTCATGAAGGGCTTTGGCACATGCAATCAGCAGTTGCTTCAGATCGTTTGGTGGGAAAGCTTGTAGTGATGGTTCCTCCGTCAACTTTTGGCGTTTCTCTACATGCACAACTTCACTTGATAGCCTACTGCTGGGAACATATGATGGCTGAGCATATTGTGATCCATCGTTCTCATGCCTCCAGGGCTTGTATCTGTGGCCAGATGCCATTGGTCTGCTGCTCCCGGCCAATGTATTTGGAGTGGTAACTTGATCATCATCGGGGGCCATCAGAGCAGTTTCTAGCTCTAGCAAAGCGTGTTGGATTTTCTGATTACTATTCACATTCTGTGGAAGAGAGTTCCAAGCAGAATATAGTGGGAAATTGTCTATGAAGTCTACAGAAGAGATTGATTTATACATATATTGGTTGGTTTCCAGTGAAGAGTTACAAGAGGAGCTGACACCCGAGAGGATTTCTCCGGGGCTGTATTGCTCTTGGCCGTCACTCAATGCAGAAAGGGTGTCAGAATCAAAATAAGTGGAAAATGGTGAATTAGGTGAGTTGCCAATGTCATATTTCAAGGATCCAAGCAGCCTGTTGGGTAGGGATGGAACAGTGGGAAAAGATGGCACGTAAGGTAATCCTGCACTTGCAACACCAAAACTGAAAAGCTGTTGTGAGTCCATCCTAAGATGGCATCAGCTGATTTATGTGACGGGGGGATTTATTAATCTGAGTAGCAAATCAGAAAAACACCACCCTCTGCAAGCTTCTCAACACTTTGCTTCACACTTGAACCCCAACAGTTTCAATATAAGAGTATGAGCCTGCAAGGACAACATAGACAGGTACTAATAAGTATAATAATAGCTAAATCACAAGTTCATTGTACCACTAATCTAGTGCAACTGCAATTTGTAGAGAAGATAACAACTGCTCACACAAGAAATAAAGAAAGCGATCGAACACTAGAAAACTTATGTTGATGAAGTGTGAAAAATTAAATTCATAACTCTTTTGCCACCACTAGAGGTAATCGAAGCCTGGAATGGCTAAGTAGAGTGTGGTTGGGTTTACAGTGATGCATACAGGAAAAAGAAAAATGATCATACACGAACATACAACGACACTGAAAAACAAAAACAAGAGGTTTAAGCTTGTTGGTATTTAAAATGTTCAACTAGTAAAACATCTGAACTGGGAATCGTACAATGTCACAAATTTATTAAAAATTCCAAAGAAAGCAACTTCAACAGCCCTCCCATGTGATTAATAAAAAGGTTGCTTCTTATTAGATACCAAACAGCAAGTGAAAATTCTCTGTTGATTACATACCCAAATCATGAAAATCGAAGCAAACCTCTACGAATTAATAATATCATCTGTATTTGTTCTTTCACAACTGTTATTTGCTCCAACTTCCGTTGGCAGGTAGGTTTCATATGGATACAACATAAAAAATAAAATAGTTTCCACCTGACAGCAAAAGAAATTGTTCCAAACCCAGGAATCATTCTCCTAATTCAAACCTCTCCCATCACTATCCAAACCAAAACTTCAATAACTAAAAAAAAAATAGTTTAATATCAATGAAATTGTAGTTAAAATCCATAACGTAATCTTTTCATTAAAAAAAGAAAGCAAACCAATTAAAGAAGAAGCAAGACGCTGAAATCATGACCAGAAACAATCAAATGCTGAAACCCGAATTATTTGGTATTTTTTTTTAAGATAGAGAAAATTAAAAAATAAAATCAGATACATCTACATGCTTATTCCAGAGAACCACCCACGTTGTATTGAATTCAAACATTCGTGAACGGTAAGAGAGGGAAAACAGAAACGTACACATACAAGGGGATGGGTATGCTCATTTTAGAAACAGAACAAAACCACTTCTCTGAGGAATGTTAAAGAAATTACCGAAAAAGGATAATCTAAATTGAGCTTTGTTGAGTGTTGGGAATTTGTGCAGCTTCGATGATGATGATGTTGATGTTTTATTAACGACTGTGTGTTGTTGTGTGTGTTTTTTGGTTTGGATGAAGTTGAGGAGGGTGTCTGAACGTTTTATATAGAGAAAGAAGCAAGTGTTTGGGTAAGACCGAAGACCGGTACGGATAACAATGGTGACGGTAACGGCGGTTGTCTACGATGATATCATCATAATATCAGTGTTTACTTACGCCGCTTATTTTAAACGGAGCCGACCACACATTAGGAAAGTGCAGTCCCACATTCCTGGCTTTTCTACTCTCTTCTCACACGGGTCCAGCTTCCACTCTCTCCTCACTAATAAATAAATTAATTAATTAATTAACTAGATATTAACTCATGCAATTATTCTACTAAATTAATTTTAATTTTATTACCACTGATTAAAATGTTAATTTGATGCTTGTTTCATATCATAAAAGAAAATAAATATTAACGATTAAATGTTATCTCGAAAGTATGATATTTGTATGAAGAAAGAAAGACTTGGTCCAAAGCTTAGAGCGAAGAGCACGAAGTAACGCATTAAATAATGATCAGTTCACACGCGCCACATGACTCATGGGTGACGTTGTATCAAATTATTAATTACTTTTATTGTCATTTGGTGCGGTAACAGTAGAAAAGCGCGTGACGAAATGCCTCCATACCCGTAACACTAATCTCTCGCTCGGTCACACACGTGTCGGTTTCTGACGCTTGATTTGACTGCTTTACTTACGTGGCGAGCTCTCACATGCTCCCTTCTACGGTTTTCTATGGTCGTGGACCGCATTAATATCCAATCCTGTGGGTGTAACCCACACCACACTTTCGGATCTGAATGACCCGGGCCCACATTTTCAATTCGTATTATCCGCTTAATCTCGCTTATCGCCAGCTGTTAAACATATTTTCAAGTTATAATAATCTTTGATATTTGTGAAATTGACCATTTGGGTATTTGAGGAGTAATTGAACAAAACAAAAAGAAAAGCTGGAATTTCATTGATTTACCTTTATCCTAAAAAAATAAAAAGTAAAATATATCTGTAATTTTTAAATTTAGATGAAAAATTAAAATTTATTTATATTTTAAATTTTGATATATTTGGTGTCCATCTTTGAAAATTAAATTGATATAATATTTTAATTTAATAATATTAAATTTTACATACTAAATAATGTTTTAAACTGATATTTAAATTAGTATGTGTCAAAAAGTAAATACTAATTTAAAATAGTAATTAACACATAAAAAGATTTAATATAGTTGAATTAAAAATTATATTTATATATTTCTATAATTTAAAAATAAAAATATATCAAATTTAAGACTAATTTTATTTTATAAGAATTAAAAATATATTTAACTAAAAACAAAATATTTTACTTTTTACGTTATTTCTACCAGATCACGGCTCTTGGCTGACCCATTCTATGCCTTTTGATTCTCATATTTAAGAAATTTACTGTTTTGGATAAAGGCGGCTGATTTGGAACATGTGAAACCTCCTAAAGTGTCCTTTTTTGTTTATTAATGTTGACTCTACTGATTTTTGATGTATGTTCTACATAAACTGCAATTTTATCAATCAATAAAATAGCTTCTGAGTGATTATTGAGTAAGAACGATTGCAAATAAATCACGGTATAAGAGCCAATATTTTTAGATTATCTTCACATGAGTTTAAAAACTTCTTTAGATCATTTGCCAGCATAAAATGGCTTAGCACGTAAATTGTGAAGAAAAACAAGAAGACATTTGACCTTTAATAGTGTAAACATAACTTTAATTAATAAATATCCTTCAAAATGTACTATGGCAGCAAAGATATTTTAGCCCCCAAAGAAGAAATGTCCGTACAATATTAGTTAACAGGTAGACCGAGCTGACCCATTATTTTTTTTTCAATTTTTTAAATATTTTGTTTTTTATTTTTTAAATATTTTGTTTTTCATTTTTTATTTATATATATAAATGAATATTAAAAACATATTTAATCATATAAAATATTTTCTAAACTTTTAATTGTTAATATTTTTAATTAAATAAATTTAAATAATTATTACATGTTAAAAAAATTTCATTAATATTAATAATTACTTAATTTGTAAATATTAATAATATAATTTACAATATTAATATATATTTACACTATTAAAAAATATAATATAAAAATTTAATTTTTTTAATTATCTTTTATTTTAATTTTTAATTAAAAAATTACCAATGATCAGACTCGACTGCCTCCAATTTTGATCCGTCAAGCCCAACTCAACTCATTTTTGCCACTTTTATCTTAACATCTTATGTAAAGTATTTATTTTACGTGGTTCAATGAAAAATCTCTTTTAAATCTCCTCCACTTATTTATAAAGATGTAACTATAAATTTTTTTACATATATTATTTTGTTGTTAGACATAAATAAATGACTATTTTTATATTAGTCCATATTAGATATTTTGTTGAGTATCTTGTTGACAGTATAACAAGGTTATTTACTGGAAATTTCCAAAAGGGGTTATAGTCTTTTTCTCTCTTTTTAATTTGTTTGTAGATAGATGACTAATTTAATCTTCAATGCTAATTTAGGTTTAAAAATGAAAATCTTAATTTTTCAATACGTTAAAAAATTTTAATATTAATCATAATATTATAATTTAATTTGAAAATAGTTTCTTATTTATTATTAAATTAATTCTTAAAAATATATTGTTATAACAAAATAGTTGTACACATTTAATAATAAGATATTTATAAGAGATAAATATAGCTAGGGTATAATAACTTTAAATAGATAAATAATAGAAAGTTTATAAATAAATATAAAAGTTAAATTTTTTATTTTGTTAGTGTACAAAACATCGAAATTTTAGTCAAAACATCACCACGTGGCCTTTCAATTTTAGTGCACAATGTCACGTCAGTAAATGAAAAAATCCAGCTCACATCAATTTAACGCCGTCTCACACCACTTAACGGTTATGGTACAATGTGCTCATTTTTACAAAAAAAATGATCCAATTAAGACAGAAAAAAAGATGATGACCAAACTGAGATTTCCATACAAACTTGAGGACCAAGGGAGGGTTTAAACCTATAATTTAATTATTTTATCTTCAATCTATAGAAACATAAAAGATTAAATATGTTTTTAACTTCTAAACTTTGATGTGAAATTAAAACTCATTTATAAAATTTTATATATTTTAGAGTCAAAACTTTAAAATTGAATGGATATAATTTTTTTAATCCAATTATTTTTACTTATTTTTACTTGACAAACGTATTTGACACATGAAAGAAACTAATGTAATTAAATTAAAATGACTATACTTATTATTTTTTCAAGTTTTGAAATCAAAATGTATTAAAATTTCGATTTTTGTCACAAAATTTAGAGATGAAAACATATTTGACCTTAGATAAAATTGCTTAAAGATAAATAAGTAATTGTTTAACTTTCTAAAGTCTTCTAATTATTTTTCTCGGAATTTAGGTTTCAGAATTCTATAAAATATATTATATAAAGGTACTATATTAGTCCACCAACTAGAATATCAATTTAAATAAGGTGTTACAATCTCGTATTACTTTTACGTATTTTGATATAAAAATAAATATGTTAAAAGAAAATTAAATTCACAGCGTCTTAAAAAATTAATGGTTAAGTTAATTATTTATCTTATATTTTAAAATTCATATAATTTTAGACGAAATAAACAAATTGACTCATTGGTCAAAGCGAATTAAAAAACTAACCAAAATATTACATGCTTTGTGTAGGAAGACAAACTACTTTTCATTCTTTGATTTCTCAAATCAAAACTAAACTAGTTAACAACTTTATATTTAAATTTTAATTATATTGCCACTATTGTATTGAAAATACCATTCGTAGCATTAATATAATAGCTAAGTAATGAAGAACTACTAAGTTTTTAAAAATATCGAACCAAATATATACAACCAATTTTGTTTTTTCAAACAAAACTGCAAAATTAAAACATCATATTAAAACTATGGGGATTAAAAATAAATTTATTTATTAATTAATTATAAATAATACAAATTGATAGTCGTTATTATCCTCTGTCATAAAGAATTTAAAATACGTGTTTGACAAAATATGTTGATTGAGTAAACCGTTTAAAAAAGTCAATTTTTAAAATTTTATAGGCAATTAAATAGTTTAAAATTGGATACATCAAAATTTTACCTCAAAAGAAAAAAAAATCTTGCATTCGTATTTTTTCTAATCAAAATTCTAATTTTAATTTTATTAGCTTAACAAAGATGTTGAGGAAAGTTTTTTTCAAACTTATTTGAGTATGTTTACTTTTTAGTCGACAATATTAAGATTATTTTATCTTGTTGGTATAGGTAAGAGTTATTTTTCAACCAACAATAAATCAAGTTTTCTGTCAATATTATTAAGAGCGTTTTTTGTTTCTTTAATTTATGGAAATGAGATTAGTTTATGTCAATCAAAGTTTTCTTCAATTAGTATCAATTTTATCAATCGATGTTAATTACAATTTTTCTTACTAATGTTGGATTTAGGATTTAAGATTTAAGGGTTTTTATTGTTGTTGATAGAAGCTATTGTTTTTTATTCACATTCTTACAATAATTCTTTTATTTTTTTTTTGTTATTTATAACTTGATACTAGTTATATTTTTCGGTTAATATCAAGAACACTACTTTTTGACTGATGTAAATTGATGTTTGTGTTGTTATTTTTTCAATATTTATTATGATTTTTTTTATCAAAGACACTAATGTAATCCTTTATCTATTGCTAGTTAAGATTTTTTTTCCTAATTGAAAAAGATTTTGATTAATATTACCTATGATTGTTCTTTTGTCAATTGGTAAGGAGAGTTTGCAATTACCATTGATTAAAAAAGGTCCATCAACGACATCATAAAAATAATTCAGATGAAAATTAGTTTAAATGATTGTAATTGATATCACGTAATACAAACTCAATCATACACAATTGACAAAAAAAAAATCCTTTATTAACATCAATTGAAAAAAAAAAGATCTTAACAATTTTGACCAAAAAATAACGTCAAGGATCAAGTCGACTAAAAGAATCATAGTATTTATATTTTAAAATTATCAACCATTATTTAATATTTAAATA